AGGAATCTCCTTGGTGAAGACTTTGGTCCATTGAACTCAAAGGAGCTCGAGCAGCTTGAGCACCAGCTTGAGTCATCCTTGAAACATGTTCGCTCCACCAAGGTAATAATATCATAGAGCAGTAAAGAGCGTTTTTTTCCCATGAAAAGATTAACCATAGTAAATTTGTGGCATAATTAACATTGTCAAGTTCTCAATTCATTTGCTTCTTCATTTCCCTTTTAACTCCATATGTTTTCAAGTTTCACTTTCAATATTGTAACACTTGTTTTGTTTCAATCTCTTTCTGCAGACCCAACATATGCTTGACCAGCTTTCTGATATTCAGAACAAGGTAACAATCTGAATTTTGGGCAAAAAAAAGTACTGCTAATGTTTTTTGTCCTTCTATGCTAACGGGCTTCAAGTACAGGAACAAATGCTAATGGAAGCTAACAGAGCTTTGTCCATAAAGGTAAATTCATCTCTTAAATTATAGAAGTAATAGCTTTCATCAACTTTTTTACTGTATATGATATGTCAAGTTGAAAGGACATAACTCATGACATAGTTTATGAAAGGGTTAATATATTATTAGATACCTGAATTTAGTTTCAAAATTCTAATCTGTACCTTCTATATTTTTGGAGGTCCAATTTGATACTAAAACTTGGCTTTTGTTACACGTTAATATATATACAAGTGAGCCTAAGCAAGCATTTAGAGGAGTCAATCACAAGCTGATATCAAGCAGCTTGGAGTTTGGAGTATCATTTTGATTGCTTTCTTCCCTATTCGACCAACAAGCCTTAAATATAGCATTTTACTTGATCATCTCTATCTATATTGAAGATTTGATACTTAAATTTCCATAAGATCCAATATGAATGTGAAGTTGATATTGCGAAAAAGTGATGAGTGACTGTTTCTTCAGACCGGTAGTTGTCTCATATACTAGTCAATTTTATCAGCTGAAGACATTTTTATGTTTATCTAGCTTGAAGACATTAATGCCAGAAATCAGTTTCGAGCACATTGGGAAGGTGGCGAGCAAAGTGTGTCATTCAATAACCAGCAGGCTCAGTCCATGGGGTTCTATCAGCCATTGGAATGCAATCCAACTTTGCAGATAGGGTATGATTTCAACCCCTTTATTTTTTTCCTTTTCTCGAGATATTATTTCACAAATCCTCGTCACGCCATCTATGATCCCAACAAATAAAATTCACCCACCTCATCTTTTTTTTCTTCATGTCACTAATCCAATGATATTTAACTTTCAAGTAACTACACTCTCATATTTACATGAAAAAAATGGTGAAGATTCATTTTTGAAAAACGACGTGAAAGAAAAAAAATTGAAGTGGGTGATTTTTATTGATTGAGAAATTATCTGTTTCTGGTGCAGGTACTGCAATCCTGGAGCTTCAGACCAGATGGCTGCAACAACTCATGCTCAGCAAGTCAATGGCTTTATTCCTGGAAGGATGCTCTAAATTTTTGGTTCCATCAACATGGTTAAAATGATCATAAATTCTAGTGGCTTAAAATGTTTCTTGATGTTGGAAATGTGTAAAAATGGCTTCAAGAGCATAGATGAATAATATCCTGCATTGACATAAAACACTACAGCAGAGACAGTTTGCTTTGACACTGGTTAAGCCTTATTAGACCGGTATGATCACGTTGCCAAAATGTTTTGGGCATTGTTGTTGTTGGCTGCAATTTTTGGGTGAAAGATGGAAGTTATACTTCCATGGCTCGTATTTACATTGACTTGTTAATAGGGGTGTGCAAAAATACCTGACCCGGTTGAACCGACCCGCCGACCCGGATCTAAAAAACCGGATATTTTTCTAAAAAATTACCCGGTCAGGTCGGGTATCCGACCTGATACTTTCCGGGTCGGGCTTGGGTCACAAAAATTGATTTTTCTGGGTACCCGGTTACCGAGTACCCGGTTAAGTTTTTATTTTTTTAATTATATATATATTTAATTTATAAAATACTTTTAGTCTTATAACTTTTCATATTGAAAATGATTAAAACATGTCATTTAGTTCAAATATTATACAATAACATTATCAATTTATCATATAGTATTTATAATATGTACATGTAACATATAGACAAAAAGACAAGTTAAATCAATTCATAGTAGTTAAATTAACAAAGCTGGCATGTTCATAATTTAATAAACATATCAACAATCACTACACGTATTATACACTTTATCTCGTACATGTAACTATACTAAACATGTTTTTATTATCATATATTTATATTATCAGTATTTATTCTAAGTATTCTTACTAGATTAGTTTAGATTTAAAATTTTTACATTTGAAATAATTTTTATCATAGTATCAATTTTATATTTTGAACTTTTAAATTTTGTGTTTGGATGTTGAACTGTGTAATTTGAAATTTCGAACATTTAAATTTGTGTTTTTTTATTTAATGATTTAAAGAAAAAATCCGGTATCGGGTACCAGCAAAATCTGGGTATCCGATTACCGGATACCCAGAACATCCGGGTCGAGACACGAGCCAAAAAATCACTGACCCGATAATCGGGTACCAGAAAATCCGGGTACCCGGATTTGCACACCCCTACTTGTTAAGAGTAGATCCAGTTTTAGATGGTCATTAACTCATAATGAATAAAATGACTAGATAGGAAGATTGAGGGCCTTACACACTTCTTTATAAAATACAAACAAATCTTTATTGGATGATTAAATTTATTAAGTTAAATTAAAATTAAGATCAAATTAATAAAATATGTAAGTAATGAAAATCAAATATATAATTATATATATTTATTTAATTATCATATCAATATTTACTTATTAATGAGAACAAACTTAACTAACATTATTTAAGTAATTAAAGGACCTACTTAATTTTTTAATAACTCATGATTAAATTGAAACCTCTACAATTAAATGACACTTCAAGTGGTTTATCCTTTTATTTAGAGTTAATCACATCATCTATCCTCAAAGTATGTCCCTTATTTTAAATTGGATCTTAAACTTTCAAATATTCAAATTTCATCTCTAAACTATGAATGTCATTCTAAATTAGTCCCCAAGCTTTTTGAACATTCCAAATTCATCCCAAACTATACGCATATACTAATCACATCAATCTTTAATAAAATTGTTAGGCTGAGTTATATTATAATATGTTTAAAAAAACAAAATTATGGTTGAAACTAATTACATGTTTGGATGGGTTTAGGGATGAAATTGAAATATTTAAAAGTTCGGAGATCAATTTAGAAAGAGAGTCATAGTTTAGGGATGAAATTAGATTGTTCAAAAGTTTAAAGACTAATTTAGAATGAAAGTCATACTTTAGGGATGAAATTAAAATATTTAAAAATTAAAAGACTAATTTAAAATGTAGGTTATAATTTGAATACATATGATATATTTAACTCTTTTATTTATTGTAGAACCTTTGGAATTTAAGGAGTATGTGAATCAGGATTGTTTCAGGAAAGATGACTAATATACGATTAATATATGACATTACCGGATATATTAAAAGATATTTAATAAATTCGGTTTAGTGCTACCTATTATGTTGACAGACTAATAATGTTTTAGGTAGAAAACATGAAAAACTATTAAAAAATTTGGAAACCGATAAACTTTAGTTATCGGTAAGTATTGATGCATATATATAAGTGTCCATACTTATTTCACTGTGAAAAACATTAATTTAAGGTTATTTTTTTAGTGAGTTTTAAGATATTAATTTAGTAATTATACACGTCTAATGGTTTATTTTTATGTTACGATATATACTATTATTAAATTAAAAATAATAAACATAGATATTACATATTTATTATTATCTTTGGTTAAAATTGTTAAATTTAAATTCTAAATAATATTTTATAAAATATCAAAACAATCAAATAATTTTTTGTGTAAATGAAATTATTAAATTAATATTGTAGGTTGAAAACATGAAACACTATTAAAATTTTTTGAAACATAAATTACATAACTTTCAACAAAGTATCGATACATTTTTATAAAAAATATTTATACTTTCAACATATCAGGTAAATTTGACCAGTTTTATCATAATGAAACTGATTTTGTCATATTTTTACCTGTTATATTGTAAAGTATCAATATATTTTTTATAAAGTATCGATATTTTATAGGCCCTATTACTGCTTTTCTTTTAAATTCCAAAAGTGTCGATACTTATTTAAATGGAATCGACACTTTCAACATATCCAGTAGGTAGTTTAATGTAATAGGTAACACCTATTTGTTTTTACCGTTTACATTATTATACTTGATAATGTTTCCAGTAAATAACCGGTTATGTTATCCTTGGTAATATTTTAGGCGTTTACCTAATATATTGTAATAACAAATTAAATAATTAACATATTTTATTATATAAGCACTACCTATTACGTTATATAAGCGCTACCTAATATGTTATTGTGCTTGATAATTTTTCCAGTAATTAACCTATTTTATTATATAAGCGATACCTATTACATTATATAAGTTTTACCTAATATATATTATTGTGCTTGATAATGATTCCAGTAATTAACCTATTTTATTATATAAGCACTACCTATTATATTATATAAGCGGTACCTAATATGTTATTGTGCTTGATAATATTTCCAATTAAATGATATAAAATAACCAGTCTAAATTTTAACCGATCATATCATTTTTTAGCCGTTTAAACGCCGCACCGCATAACTTCCCTGTGAATCGGGTCAGATCCGACCGTATTCGAATTATGAAGAACATTTCTTTCGACCAAATTAAACGACGTCAAGTATAGGTAATGCTTTACGTCAGCACTAGACATCTTCTAGATACAGGAAATTGTATATTAAGATTAAGATCTAAACTTGACAATAATTAAAATTATTTTTAATTGTTTTCCTTATATATTTCTATTTTAATACAGTAAAAAAGTGGGAAGTCATTGTCTTTGGTAGTAGGTGTTTATGAGAGACAGAAGCTTTAGACCAACAAAATGTCAACCCTTATGTTTCGATATATAAACTCTATTATCTTCCAATTTCCAACATCCAATGCGTTTATTTTGTCTTCCGAAGAGCTTCAGTTTCCATCTTCAGGTAATCTTTTTTCTCTCTATCCAAACAGAATTCCAGTTCCCACTTCCCCGATCTTTTGAATCCACCAATTAGCATGTTTGAATTCCTTGATTTATATATTTCATAATTTTTTCTGACACCCTTTTGTTTATCTCTACCATGATTGGGATAAATTCTTATTTTTATATGCTAAAGGTTATTGCTTTAGCTTCAAAGAATTCTTTCTGTTTTGCAAAATGTAAACTTTTAACAATTGTGATTGTGCTTTCTTCTGGTTATCTGGGTGAAATAAGACAAACCCAACTTTGCAAATTTGATACTCCTTTAAAGTTCCCTTTTTCTTGGATACGGAAGCAGAAATGGATAAGGTTGATTACATGTAAGAAAAACATTAGGATTTATTAATTTGGTAAAGGATTGTATATGCAATTTCTTGACTGAAAAAATAAAGGGTTTTCCTCAAATATAAGATCTGCAAATCTAACCTACGTGTTTTGGAGAAGAGGAGCACCATCTTTGCATGGCATTTTTCGATGTCCACCACGTTTTCTAAACAATTAAGGTTTAGAATTATGTGAAAAGCAAGCAAAATGGTCCAAATTACATGTGATCGGATGTTTATGCATTAGGGATAAATTAGATCTTCGTAGTTCATTCAAGATTTATGTTTGTTGTTAACTTTTTGTAGATAAAATTTATGGATTGGTCCTGGAATACGCAATGTTACGACATTTTAGCACTCGGGACGAGTGAAGATGATTTTCTTTTACATATGTGTGTGTATGTGTTTATAGATGATTGCATCAACGATGACCTCTGTAGCTTATTTTGCTTGTCCTTTTGGTTACTGATTTGGAACTATACCTGTTACCTGCCATCATTATGTAGAAAGTCAGCAAAAACCAGAGGGTAATGGCTCAGTCATCTGGTAGCAATTCTGCGAAGAAGCTCGTTCAAATTGATGTCACTTCAGACAGCGTTTGCCCATGGTGCTTTGTGGGGAAAAGAAACCTCGACAAAGCCATTGCTCAATCTAAGGATCAATTTGATTTTGAGGTCTGTCATCACATGCACAGGCCTTAATACTTGTCAAATGCATATTAAATTACTCTCATCGATGGTTGTTCTTCTCAGATTAAGTGGCATCCATATTTTCTTGATCCTTCTGCACCCAAGGAAGGAGTCAACAAGAAAGAATACTACGAGAAGAAGTTCGGATCTCGAGCTCAAGGAATTCTTGCTCGTATGACTGAGGTCTTGCTATATTCTTTGAACTTCATATTGTTATAATTTGATTTGCCTTGCCTTCAAGTTTGTTGCTTACTGCCTGACTTGCTGTGGCCACATAAAATTGCAGATCTTTAGAAATCTTGGATTGGAATATGACATGTCTGGACTCACGTAAGTTTCGCTTTTTTGCTTTGCTATTTTTCGTGTAATAAGAGGGCCGAAGGTGTCTGTGCTAATAAATAGGCATAACCGGAACTTGATATGAACAGGGGAAGTTCTCTTGACAGTCATAGGCTGATCTATTTTGCTGGAAAACAAGGCCTCGACAAGCAACATGCTCTCGTGGAGGAGATTTATCTTGGATACTTCACGCAGGGAAAATTTGTTGGTGACCGGTATGTGTAGTTCATACTTTTTAGTCTTCGATGAATTCCAATCAGTTATCTCAAGTGGTTTACAATCAATTATTTTCCGAATGACAAAATACAAACACTTGTGGTGGCATCTTGGATAATAAACCTCAGAAGTAAGCTTGTTGGAACATCTTTTGGTGACATTGGGTTTTACGGTTATGTTCATTTATGTAGAGAACTAATAAAGTAGTTGTGCATCGTCATATCCCTACCCCGAGTGATTGCATCTAACAATGTGATTGGATGCAGGGAGTTTCTTCTGGAATCTGCTAGGAAGGTTGGAGTTGAAGGTGCTGCAGAATTTCTGGGAAATCCTAATAACGGAGTTAAGGAGGTCTGCTCCGTCTTACCACCACCCGTCTATCGTACATTCCTTCATAATATATGTGCTTCATAGCTAACCGAGGTTTTATTTTCCGATTAAGGTTAACGAGGAGCTGGAGAAGTACTCTGCAAACATTTCTGGAGTCCCACATTACGTGGTGGGTGAAAAACCTAAGCTTTTAGTTTTTTGTTAGCTTTAGTTGGAAAACTAAGACAATGTGTTTTTTGGCAGATAAATGGGAAGCACCAGTTAAGTGGTGGACAACCAGCAGAAGTTTTCCTGAGAGCTTTTCAAGTTGCAGCAAAATGAGAATATTTCAAGCATTTTCAACCTATACAAAATCAATAATTTGGCCATTTAGTAAACTCTCTTCTTACCAGGTGTTTATGGATTTCTTTTATTGGCCGAAGAACCTGGGTTTTATGTTTTGCTTGTATACGCAGGAGTGTATTTTGACAAAACATGTATAATTTGTGTGGTTAAATTCGAATTTAAATCCAATAACACAACCAAACCTCCTTTATAAAAAAGAATCCACACTTAGTTTTCCAATAATCATGCATATGATTTCTTTTCCCCCCACTTTAAGGGTTACAAGGACAATGGAATTAAAATCTTTATACAAAACACTTTCATATTTATGGTATGAGACAATCACCTAGTCCTGAATTATTCACAAAGGACTCTAGATGTCTTCCCTTACTTTCTATCTTCGGTTGTCGCTTGTTATCATCCGTAACAAAAACTTTCAAGCAGGATTAGGTCGTTTCATCAAACGCCATGACCTAGAAAAGCAAACAAAACAAATAACCATTAATTGCCTGTCAAATCCAGGGAAAAGTCAAGTAAATAAAACATCAGGAAATATTCTGGACTTCGCTCAAAATTATCATTAAAATGACATACACTAGCAAACAAGTGTTTAAATTGTTTAAGAAGAAACATCCAAACGTGTCAAATCCATTAGATGAGAACTACTTGAAAAACTATACACACTATATAACCATTAATGTGCACGAGTGTTGATAAACAAACCAATGGAAAAAATCTTATGCAGAACTCATAAAGGGAGAGAGCAAGACATGAACCTTAAAATGTATTTGAAGGCAAATTAAGATGCTAATATTTGTAAACCTAGCATGCATGAAGATCCTATAAAAATTGGAATTCTAGAAAGGAAAGAACTGCTGATTAAGCGGGATGAAATGTGAACAGCACAACTGTTGATGGAATATATATTATCATTTAGCTGAAAGCAGGTTACCTTCCCACAGACTGGACAGTGATCACTTCTCTCCATCCATTCATAAATGCAACCAAGATGGAAATGGTGGGAACACTTTGTTTTTATCTTCCGATTCTCTGCAGTATATTCTGCACATAAATTATAACAGTAAGTTTAAATGAGGATAATATATGTATAACAAGTACAACCTAATATGATCCATGACACTATCAGTTTTTGATAGCAGTGATTGACAGATTGTTTCTAACATAAATGACTTGGCATATTCCTTGAATTAAATCCAGACTTCTTAATAATCAATCGCTAGAATCCAGTACAATTAATGACCCAAGCACCCAGGTTAGAGAAGCAAGATATAGCAGAAACTAGACATTCCAAGGCATCCTTCATAGTTCTAGAAAACTTAGCCTATTCAACCAGTCATTTAGGAAACCTTGTTGGAGGGAAGAGAGGAAGACGAAAATCACTTGTGGCACACATTCTTTTATCTAATAGAAAGCGAGAGATTCTAGTTGATATTGCTGAACTTCTGATGGCAGAGGAGCAAATCCCCAGTATTCTTGACAAATTATTACAGAAACAGTCATCATTGTTTTTTTATATTGTGGACTAAAACTAAAATCCATCCTTTATAGTTGGCTGAACACCTTGCCAGGTTCACAAGCAAGAAATAGATAAGTGGGTAAGAGTCCAAACCAGTACTGATGCATGCCAGGAAAAGCACATCAGACACCACTGCAGCATCGTCATTGTCAAGAAAAATGACTTAACTTCAAGACATGTTGGACAGACATCCTCCTCTTCTATCCGTGAATAGATGTTCTCAATTCCAACCGATTTTTTTGTTGATGAGAGTTGTGAGGATTTGGAATGCTGCTCAGTTGAGCCTTGTTCACAAGCATTCCATTTTTCTCCTCTACTCAAAGAATCCAGACCTGCATCATCTTCACCTCTTAAAGGCTCCAATTCCCCTTGGGAATGACTTGAACCCTTCTCATGTCTTGAAACAAGGCCATTACGTTGTAAGCGAAAATATCTGGTGTCAGCATCACAAGGCAAGGGCCTTGGAGTAGAACAGTACATGTCAGAAAGTGAGTTGTCTCGTGGTGCAGAAGAGTTCATAGATGCTGTTCCCTGAATGGATGAAGGGACAGAGTGCAGCTTTCCTCGTCGAAATAATGTGGTACACTACAATTACAGGGACCAAAGAAACAACATAAGTACAAAAAAACTGAAACTCCATAACTGAAATATTTGAGGACAAAGTTCTGGTCAATTCAGAAACAGGTAACACCAAACACCTTTCCAGTCAACTTCCTCACCCTGCTACTAATCAAACACATAATTCAGAATGTAAACGATCAACTGATAATTTTCAAGATTAGGTTAGTACTTAATGGTCCATAATTGATTTCGATAGATATCTGTCTACCAAAAGGTCAATATAGGCCAATGCAGATGGAATTTGCTAGATCAAGAACTGGTGTATGGGCATTGTAAGCGAATTTCACTTGCTCCAAGAGCCTATAAAGAGTGTTCTTCAAGCAAAACAGTTCTTAGGCACTGACATGTTAATCATCCTATTCCGTTTTATTTCACGAACAGGTAACTAGATTAACACAGCCCTACACACATCATAAACCATAAAGGAATTTTCCCCGACTTGGGAAACTTGGTCAATATATTAGCCACTGCTACTTATATTCACTCTTTCAGATTCTTTCATTCACCAAACCTTATCCCTCTCTATCTCTCTCCAAGGCATCCACAAAAGTATAAGCATGGGACTCAGTAAAAAGTTTACAAATGACTTCGTTTGCATTAACAGTAGTCAATAGAGATGATATTTAGTAAATTATTACAATGCTTTAAACGAAATTATTGTGGAAATAATAGGCTGATACCACCCACATGCGCACAAAAAGAAAGATAAAGAGTTATATTTCCAAAGACAAGCCTACTTTTTAACAACATAAAGTGGCATGAAAGGAATAATCAATAGAACCACCGCTTTTACAACCTCAAGTGACATGAAAATACTATGATTTGAAGAAATAATAATAGAGCCAAAACCAATGCTAATTGTCAAGTATCAGAAAACTACCGTGAGTATAAAATTCTGATAGAAGCAACCGAGGCACAAACAATTTCTAAAAATATTACTGTTTGGATTCATGTAGTCCTCAAAATCCTCAGCATGCAGGCAGGAACAAACAGAACCCATAATGTCAACTTTTAAGCTTTCCCTTTCAGTTTAAACTCTCTATGCAATGCAACCTCATCAATATGGCTCAACCATTCTAATTATACATATACATCAAGAACAAAGTTCTTGAAACTAAAAAAGGCAATGAGAGGATGCCAAGCTCGCAGAAGTCCCAAGCAGCTCTACCAACCAGAACCCCCTATCTTCTATGTACAATACGTTGAATGTCTGTGTATAATTTAGCTATATAGATCTTCTTCAGCTGTAAAATAAAAATTAAACATATCAGTATGTCAATATTGTAGATAACATAAACCCAACGAGTCACACACCATATGCAGGGACGAACGTAGAAATTTATGCTAGAGGGGGCAAACTTCTAAATTTTAGGAGGGAACAAGCTTATAAAATTCTAGGCGCAAAACCATATTTTCAATAGAAAATATATAGAAAAAATCTAAAATATATGATAATTTTGAACTTTTAGGGGGCCACTGCCCTCACCCGCCTTCCCCTCGGTCCATCCCTAACAATACGTGAGCCAATTTTGTGGATAACATAAACCAAACTGAACCAACAAAACAATCTTCATAGCAAGTTCATAATGCCACACTACTAAGAAACCAAAGAGCTTCCCTTTTTTTTGCTATTGAGAAAGTAATAACCATCTTCAAAGGCTCTGTTCATTACGAGCAAAAGGGTTATTTTCTTAAATATTAAGAAGTAGAAATATCAACAAAACAGTCACGATCATTTTGGGAATTAAATGTTACATATGAAAATAATTTCTCTTTAAGTCATCATAAGAGAACATATAACTAAACTATTCATATGTTTAAGTTTCCATCAAATCAACACCAAAAAGTCCATAAAAAAAAAGTTAAAGATAACCCAGAAACAAGCTTAGAACAATCAAATAAAGGAAACCCGATTTGGTCATCTAAAATGAAAGCAAACAAAAAATCAACACTAAAGCACGGAATTTGGTCCAAGACATGCATGAGCTGAAAAAAAAAAACGAAAAATTCCCAATTTTGATTAGCCCAAGAGGACACGATTAAACATCCTGTACCGATGAAAAATGAATAAAAAGGTTACCTGGATGGAAATTCAGCTGATTGATAAGGCGAAGAATTTTATTTCATTATATATACATATTTATGTACTTATTTAATTTGGAGTGGGTGAAGAGAAGAAGAAGAACAGTGAACCTAGGAGAGCTCCGGAAATCTGGAAAATATAAATTTATTAAAAAAGGGAAATTAAAAGGAAAAAAAATAATGAAAGAGAGTGACAGAGAAAGCTAAACAAATGTGAAGTGCATTTGATAAGTTGATCTCTAAAGAGATGAACCAAAAATTAATGATTTTTTTATGTCAACAAAAATTTATTTTCTCTAAATTTACATTATTTATAATACTACTTCAATTATATATATATATATCAGCAGTATATGAAGATTGTTTATCTAATGTGTATCTTTTTGTTTAATACAAATTGTGTGGAGGAGATGATGTATCCCAATCTTCAACTTCAAGATATTTATGTTAATATTTTAAAGCTTAAATCAAATGCAGAATAAATTTTGTTAATATATGTTTTTTAGATAATGAGTTAAAAAATCTAATTAATTGGAAAACTGGGAAATATATATTAATATTAATTTTGAAGGGCGTTCTAATACAAACGTAGTAATAAAATATGATAATATAATTTTATTTTATATTAAGTAAAGAGAGGATGTTAAAAGTTTAAACAAAAATAAATGAGTAAGATTAGAGTAATCGATTAAAGATAAATTAATAAGAATATTTTATTAATCTTTAAATATATATTTTTAGTTTAAATATTTTGTTGCTTTTGTAAATTTTATTTTTTTAAAATAATATAATTTTATATCATCACATCATTAATATTGTTAATAAAATATTAAAATAGTATAATAATTAAAATTTAGATATTATTTTAAGAGGTATATTTCAAGTAGGAAATATATATTGAAATCTGATTATATATTACATGCACGAATAATAATATTTTTAAACTAATATAAATAAATGAATATATTTTTTTGGGGGTTAAATTGTTTCCTTCGATGTGGTCCCCCCCCCAAAAAAAAAGAGTTAAGAAAGCGTAACTAAATTACAATACTGCCATCCTACAGCTTTCTTTACAGCCTTCATCTTCCCTTTTGCCGGCCAAATTGGATTTCTCATCACCGGATCTATCAAAGTGCCTTCATGTCAGTTTAGTCCACAATTTCACCTTTTGGAATTGAATCCAAAATGCAGAGCTCAAATGTGCAGCCAGAAGTTATACTGGAATGGCTGCAAAAGGAAATGGGTTACCGTCCATTGGGACCCTATAATTCTTCTTCCAACAAGTCGAATTTACCTTCAATCGATTCGCTCCGCAAGATTTGTAGAGGGAATATGTTACCCCCTTGGCATTTCTTGTTAACTCGCGTTAAATCCGAGAAAACCGTCCAAAATATCCGGAAGAACATCACCGTGCACGGCGGAGGAGGGAATAGTGAGAGTGGTGGAAATTTGGGGAAAGATGAGGGGAGAAGTAAAGGAGGAGGGGGGAGAAGGAAAGAGAAGGTGGCTGGTGCTGGTGGTAGTGGTGGAGGGGAGGGTTCAGGTGCGGCGGAGATTAGGGAAGCAGCGATAAAGGAACGGGAATCCGCTGCCAAGGAAGTGGAGAGGTTGAGGCATATTGTGAGGAGACAAAGGAAAGATTTGAAGGCTAGGATGTTGGAAGTTTCTAGAGAGGAAGCTGAAAGGAAGAGGATGCTTGACGAAAGGGCCAATTACCGGTTTTTTTCTCCTTAATTTTAGATTTGAAAAATGCCAGCTTTAGCATTGCCCTTATTAGTTTTAACTGCTCACCAATGAATAGTCGGTTCAATTTGACGACATTGAGTTTCATTATTCTTTAGGATCTCTCTTATAATTTGTGGCATTTTAATTTCATTATGGAGGCAGAAGATGAAACTAAGCCTTTAATGCTAATCAGTGTCATTGTGTTTCCAGAACTATGGACTGTCTTGTTTGTTTATTGTGTATTATTTGGTTTGGGTTTTTGGAGTCAAATATCTCTGTTATTTTCTTTTATTTTTGTTCTTCCAAGGAACTTTTCTGCTTGGATTTGACCTTTAGCTCTCTCATCAAGATGATCACTTTTTTTCTCATTTTTGATCTGGATATGCTGTTTATTATGAACTTGGGTGACCATATGCTCTATTGTCAAGCTGCGTATGAGCTCTTATTTTACAATAATTCAATGGTTGATAATAGGTTTATGTACTTTAATGAATAAATGGAGGCTCAATGTGGATTGGATATGATAAAATAAAGAATGACCTTACCATGGTGGAAAGCTGAAGTTATTAGGTGTATTTTGTTTTTCATCAAATCGCTTTTGCATATCTTGTGTTTTTACATGTCTTATTGTACTGTAGGCATAAACAAGTGATGTTGGAGGCTTATGATCAACAATGCGATGAGGCTGCAAAAATATTTGCTGAGTATCACAAACGTCTTCATCAATATGTAAATCAAGCGAGGGATGCTCAAAGGTCAAGTGTTGATTCTTCTATTGAAGTGGTCAGCAACTACGGTGGAAACAGCGAGAAGGAAGCTGTATATTCAACTGTTAAAGGAAATAAGGCTGCAGATGATGTCATTCTTATTGAAACAACTCGGGAAAGAAATATTCGCAAGGCATGTGAAACTCTTGCAGAACGCATGATTGAAAAAGTGCGAAATTCTTTTCCAGCTTATGAAGGAAATGGGATACATCTGAGTCCTCAATCAGATGCTACCAAATTAGGATTTGATTTTGATGGGGAGATACCTGATGAAGTTAGAATTATTATAGTAAATTGCCTCGAAAACCCTCCTCAATTACTTCAGGCAATTACCACATACACTTCAAGGCTTAAAACCCTGATTTCTAGAGAAATAGAGAAGGTTGATGTTAGAGCTGATGCTGAAACCTTAAGGTAGACTTTTACTTTCATATTTTTCTTGTTGGTGGTTATAGAGTTTCACGTAAGCTTCCTTTGGGTTTCCTTCTATTTATCAGGCTTTGTCTAGCCGTATGGTCACGAATAATTAACTATTTTTGTCTGTGTGCTGTTGTTTAGAATCTTACATCTGCAATTTGTTTCTTAGCAACCGTTTGCTTCAGTGTTGCACAGAAAATACTGCCATTTGTCTAGTTATTACTTTTGTTTGATCCTACCATACTTGAAATGAAGAAAATTTTGCAGTAAATAAAGCAACAAATTTTATCATAATGCTGCAACTAGGATAGCTTTTATAGGTTCATTGTTATAGCTCTCTCATTTTTGGTGAATGACATGCTTGGTTTTTGTTTTGGTTACAAACCATATCTTCTCTATCTAAAAGCTTCTATTACTTTAAGTATCTTTTGCTTCTAGTTTCTTTATGGTTAGACATTTGAGAACGTGGGTGCATTGTGTCTGGAATATATTGTTGAAAATTATTGGCATGCAGTCTAGTATTTTTTCTATAAATTTTTTATTTTTATTTTTTAATTTATGAGAGACCAAAACTATAATTTTTTTTTGTTATATCCACATTAAAAGGATTTTTTTGTTCATGCAAATATCTTTGATTAAGTTTCTTGGTTGCTTGTTTGGTTTGAAAGCACCTTGTATTGAATAAAAGTTTATTTTTATCAGGTACAAATATGAGAACAACAGAGTTATGGATGTTTCATCTCAAAATGTGAGCTCACCCTTAAACTATCAACTTCATGGTAATGGGAAGATAGGAATGGATGATCAACTTCTTGAAAGACAGGTCTCGTTTTCCTTTTCAGAATTCAACTTATGCAAATTTACTCTTTTACTTTTATCTACTACTACCTCCTGCATCTATTAATGCTGTTGTTAAGGGGATTATGAATTTAAAAGCATTTTCGTTTAAGATGAATGAATGCCGGTTGGCTAGTTGTCTTTGCTTAACTTTTATAGCCCCAGTGTTGTCCTTATGTTGATTATCCTAAGTCATCCTTTTGTAGTTTGATTTATAAATACATGTTTGTTTGCAGAAAGCACATGTTCAACAATTTTTAGCTACTGAAGATGCTCTCAACAAAGCTGCAGAAGCTAGGGACTTGTGTCAAACGCTTATAAAACGTCTACAAGGAGGTAGTTCTTTAGTTCCTTCACGCACTCTTGTTGGAGCTGTTACACAGAATGTTGGCAGTCTTAGACAATTTGAGGTGATTCCTATGGTTATGAGTTTCTAGATTTTCCAAGAGAGCATATATGATCATGTTTATATTGTCACTTTTTCATCTTGATGTTTATTTACTCATGCTACATTGTATGGTTAATTTTCTCAGTTGGAAGTTTGGGCCAAGGAGAGAGAGGCCGCTGGGTTAAAGGCAAGCTTAAATACATTAATGTCTGAAATACAGAGGTTGGATAAATTGTGTGCAGAGAGGAAAGAAGCTGAAGATTCATTAAGAAAGAAGTGGAAGAAGATTGAAGAGTTTGACTCTCGTAGATCTGAACTTGAAAGCATATATACTGCTCTTTTGAAGGCTAATATGGTAAGGAATTCCGATCTTCATTTTCATTGTAAAAATCAACAGTAGAAATATGGTGGCGGTGCATATATGATCTGTTAGATACCAATTATTACTATTTAGCCACTTACGCTTTGTAATGTGGTTGAACTTTTTCAAGTATAGGTTAATAACATTCTTTCTTTCCTTTATCCATGTTATCTTTGAGTACTTCTCTTATTTGTAAGAAAAGATATAGATATCCATGTTCTCTTTAAGTATATTTTAATTACAAAGATCTTTTCTTCTTTTGTCCAACGATGTTTCATTTTCTTTTGTTCCAAAATGTTGGAAATATATCTTGTAGTTGCTTATCTGTATCCAGCTTCTCCGGAAGAGACAAATGGTTCAAAGGAGGAGGACTTGGATGTTATACTGGATACTTAGGATGATAAGTGCAGTAATAGTGTTGTAATAATCATGTATATCTCCAATTAGATGATATAGTTAGTAACAACAGCATAAGGAAATATCATTGATGTTTTGTAACAATGTATATAAATAGTGGACTTATTTTTTTGTTTTCTTGCTATGGATGCTTTGTCACTTTTATAGAGTTCAGTCCTGACTTTTAGCATACATGAAGTTCCAACTCAAATATCTGACAGGATTCATTCTTATTTCTTTTGTTTTAAAGGATGCAGCTGCATTCTGGAACCAACAGCCATTATCTGCGAGGGAGTATGCTTCCGGCACCATTATTCCAGTTTGCAATGTTGTTGCAGACATTTCAAATAGTGCAAAAGAGTATATTGTTAAAGAAGTTTCTGCATTTTATAGAAGTCCTGATAATAGCCTCTACATGCTTCCATCAACCCCACAGGTTTGTAGGACAATGCACTTATGTTCTTTCAATTATAAATACAGTAAAAAATAAACTAGAGAGTTATATAGTAAGTAGTCATTTTCCCCCCGAATAATCTGTTTGTTTATTTTATCTTGGATGCAATATGGCATGACAGATTGGGTTCCCATTCTTAATGAGACCATAGTCTCAATAGGTGGTTCTGGAAAAAAATATTCTAAGTTGTCTCCTATCATTATTATTTAACGTCTTATATTTCTTGATCAATTGCATGTAACTTGACATAAACTAGTGGGCAGTTGTCTCAGTGGATTTTAACTATGTAGATATTCTCCTATTTTATCTGTTTGTTCTTGGAACTTTTGTATGTTTCGTGTTAAGGGGGCTCTACCTTAGTTTTTAAACCCTACCATTTTATGCAGCTATATATCTAAGAAATTCGGTAAGATAGCCATACAAATCAAACACACACAGTCATGCTGTATTCCCTTGTTATATATACGTACAAAGTGTTAAGATGTACAAGTTTTAGATGGACTAAAACTTTGGAGATAAATACATGATAGCTATTTTAGATAGGCCAGGAGTATAAGATAAGTACATAGCTAAACACAGAAGTTAGAAAACGATCAAAATGGTTCAATCTAATCAACTGAATTAAATGAATTTTTTATCCTTTTCAATAATATATGTTATTTAGATTTGGATATTTTAAAATAAAATTCTTTGAGCTTATGTTACTCCGATTCGGGTGTTGAATGTCAGATACTATGTGCCCAATATGAGTATTTCGAATTTTTTTCCCAAGTATTTGGAGGGTCCTATCTTCATACTTATATCCAAAAATGTGTTTGACTTGGGTACTCAAAAGAAAAGTAACGTGTCAGGGTAATATTTCGAGCTCCTAGAAGATTTCTTTGCAGCCTTGACATTAAACTTCAAACTATTCTTTGTTTGCATCATGTAATTATTATTCCTGCATCCCTGAAATTTTTTTCTTGTTTTCTTAACTCAACTGGAAGGCCTTTATATATATGCATATTCATTCCTTATTTATGTTGTGTTTGCTCTGATACAAATATAGTTTAAATGAAATTGGATTCTTCATCTTATTTTAATAAATTGCAAATTCCAATTACATGCCTCTATTTCTTGTTTCATTTCTTCAACTTCAGGCTCTTCTAGAGTCCGTGGGTGCTAATGGATCTACAGGACCTGAAGCTGTGGCTGCTGCAGAGAAGAATGCTGCTTTGTTGACTGCAAGGGCTGGTGCCAGGGATCCATCGGCAATTCCATCCATATGTCGTGTTTCTGCTGCTCTTCAATACCCTGCTGGTGAGTTTTGTTCTCCAATGAAGCTGGCTAGATTCATAGAAGCACTGGTTGTGATTTTGAATTGACGTGTTACACTACTGGGGGATGTTTGATTGACAGTGGAGGTTGAATAAATTGTCACCTAAGTTCATTTTTGCTTTGTATCAAAACAAAAAGAATTTATTTGGTTTATTATCCAATGTGTTCTCCTTTCAAATCACCTTCTAATACTCGGGAGTTTGATTTATTTGCTTGGTTGAGGATTTGAATGATCTTAAAGCCCATTTAAATGTCTTTTTTCTTTCAGTTATGATTGTTTTCTATCTAATGACATCGTATGATTAGGTCTAGACGGTTCTGATGCTGGTTTGGCATCAGTGTTAGAGTCTCTAGAGTTCTGTTTGAAGCTTCGGGGTTCTGAGGCTAGTGTCTTGGAGGAATTGGCAAAGGCTATAAATTTGGTCCATATTCGGCAAGATCTTGTTGAAAGTGGTCATTCACTATTGAACCATGCTTACTGTGCTCAACAAGAATATGCAAGGTAATGAATTACTGTTTAACGTCTTCCTGGAAGTTACAATTATATAAAAGTCATCTTGTTATCTTTCTGTCCTCTCTTTGTATAAGTAGACGGTGCTTTGTCTGAAATCGATTTAGCTATTCTTTCGTACACATATATGGGGTCTTATACGATTGTCTTCTTCTTATTTGTTGTGTGCTTTCTTGCCACATGATGCAGGACAACAAATTATTGCTTGAATTTGGCTGCTGAGCAAGATAAGATTGTCGCAGAGAAATGGCTGCCCGAACTTAGATCTGCAGTTTTGAATGCTCAGAAGTTCTTGGAGGACTGCAAATACGTGAGGGGTTTGGTAAGTAACGGCATTATCAATTTGCTGGCCGTATCATTTTACATCTCTTGCTGTGTGCATGTGTATTCTATCGTTTTCTTCAATTTCACATGCAACCTATTTGAATATTATACTGTAAAAACAATTTAGAAAAAAATAAACATATCTCGGGTCAGACACATAGGAGGATAAGATTATATTGAAACATCAACATTTTATTGCCAAGAATTCCATATTTTTGCATTGTATAACACATCGAGATTTAACATCGTGGCACAGTTGGACGAGTGGTGGGAGCAACCGGCATCAACCGTTGTTGATTGGGTTACAGTTGATAGACAGAACGTTGGAGCTTGGCATTCTCATGTAAAGCAACTTCTTGCATTTTATGATAAGGAAGTTTTGTGAAGCTATGTTCGATTGGTTGGGAAACACACTTTTTGCACTAAACTCCTGTACGTGTATGTAGTAGTAGCATGGTTTGAATTTCCCGGAAGAAAACGGTGTAAAAACTCAAGCTACCTTTCTCTGTGTTGTAAAGAGAGTTTCGCCCACTTGTGAAATGATCATCTGCTTTGAATATAGCTTGCTTTTCAGCAATGATTCATAATCCTTGTTGGCATATCCGATATTTTGATTTTGGTTCGGAAGATGTAGATATCTAAATTAGTAACACAAAGTTGCTTTATTTACCGGATAACTTGTAAATATTCGACTTGCCGCCACCCCCCCCCCCCTTTTTGCTCAAAGTAGGTTGAAATTTGAAGAACATAAACAGAGCAAAAAAAAACAAGTATATTTCCATGAATAATTCCTCATATATCTCATGGCGTTGGCACATGATATCTGTGGCTGCAGTAAGCAGCTCGTGATCAAAGCAGGAACCACTCCAACTATCCCATGTTGTTATCAAATTCAAAGGAACCAATTCCATAATTGCAACTATAATTCCCAACCATAATATTTACTACTTCCGAACCTCCAATTCCAAATCATACATTCCTCTTGATAGTCTACACTTTACAGTTCACTGGTTTTTGCATGAATGATGTAATGATGTTAGGCTCTACACTATAAAAGTTGATCCAAGTTCAGGGCAACAAATCAGAACAAAGAAAAAGAGGTATTTGAAATATGAAAATGACTTGGTTTTCCTTGATATTGTTTCTTAGTTTAACAATCAATAATCTATCAGAGGCTAGCCATCATGGTCGTAAGCTACATTCTGCTGTTGTTTCTGGAACTGTTTACTGTGATATTTGTTCCCAGGAAGATTTCTCAAAAGCCCATCACTTTATTTCTGGTCAGCTGTTTTACTACTTGTGATTTTGATCTGTTTAGGCTGATATTTATTACTAATATGTTTTGTTTTTCTGGTATTTTGTTTGTGCAGGTGCATCAGTTGCTGTGGAATGCAAGGATGGGGATTCGATGCTTAGTTTTCGACAAGAAACGAAGACCGATGAGCATGGAGAATTCAAGGTTCGTTTGCCATTCTCAGTTACCAAACGTGTCAAGAAAATCAAGAGATGTTCGGTGAAACTCGTGAGAAGCAGTGAGCCATACTGTGCAGTGGCCTCATCTGCACCTTCTTCGTCACTCAATCTCAAGAAAACAAGCCAAGGAACCCACATTTTCTCAGCTGGACTTCTCAGTTTCAAGCCACTGGAACAACCAAATCTCTGCAACAAGAAACCAAGTGTTGCTGATTCCAAGGAATCCAATACCAAAAGCACCATGGAATTTGGCCAGCCGAATTATCCCGTATTTCCACCTCCACTACAAGACCCTGCACCACCACAGTCACCTCCATTGCTTCCAAATCTGCCACCATTACCTCAACTCCCCCCTCTCCCATCACTTCCACTGCCCCCTTTTCCACCTATTCCCTGAAGGAATTAGATAACTGATACTGATATATTTATTAATATGAAACGCAGCTTAATTTGTTGAATCCTCCATATCAGACTACTATGTTGAAGTTCACTAGTTTTCATGTAGAGCAGCAGCTCACTACTCTATTTCCCTTCATTTATTACGTTGTAAGTTAATGTGGTTTATCATTTAATGAGCATCTTAATGCGCATAATGTGATTGGAGTTCTATATTTCAGAATTTCATGCAAGAAAAATCATACGTACTGTATAGGACCAATTCGATGGAAATATATATGCACATTAATTTGGACAGAGGATTGATCCTAATGTATAATGAATTTTAAATGATTTAAGAGTCACGTTAATAGTATAAATAACTATTTTAATATATAATTATTGTAATTATTGTTGGTAATATAAAGAATCTCACATTGGACTGAAATTGTTTAGTTTGTTTTGACCTAATTTGTGCTTGTTTCTTTTAGATACTATTTTGTCAGACATGTCATTAAAATAATATTTATGATAATTAATTATTTTTATAATCTTTGAATTGTTGAAAAATATATAATTTATAAATGTGGGGATTAAACTTAATTGAATTAATAAATGATGATTAAATTTTTCGAATTATTTTAAGTTAAGATTAAATTGATAAAATTATTTTAATCGATGATAATTAAATTATAATAATAATTAAATTTATAAAAAATTTAATTTGATGATTAAAATACAATGCACTATAATAATTTAATCAGAAATGAAATAATTTATTTTAGAACTAGTATTGCATTTTACTTTTCTAAAAAGCATGTATAAATCCAACAAAACTTTTAACTTCCTAACTCACAATAATTATCAACTTCACTGACAAAGTTGAGGTTAGTGAATCTATCAGAGTACACACAAAGGTATAAACCATAGAGCTAATCTGCAGATATGATGTTAGCTAGACACCGTGGCAGCCAGCACCGTCGTCACTGTCATTGTCACCGCCTCAGATATTGAACGACAGCTTGATTGCAGGTTCTTTTTGCTGGACACAGGCAGCGACCACCATCGACACCATCGCTATGGCACCAACTATTTGACCAATCAGCAGAACATAGCTCCCGTCACCGATACTTCCCAATCCGACCGCCATTGATTGATCTCCGATTATATGATACTACTATATTATTATTATTTTTCAGTATCACTCTTTGTTTTCGATGATCTCGCAGTGCCAGTAGAATAGTTTTAGTATTTATATCTCCACCGGTCGGAGCTAAGAGTGACACTTTTAAGACAATGATAAAATAAAAATGATTGCATTTTCTTCTGATAAACACCGTTAACGATGTTGAAATCGCGTGTTTAACGATATCATTTATCATATTTGTCTATAATCTCGTACGTGTTAGCTTTGTGGAGATCAACGTTATCAAGTAATAGTGCAAGCCATGCATGAATATTTTAGAAACGTTGTTTTCACATTTCACAATCACTTTAAATTTATAATGCATATAATATTTTTTTATAATATTTAAACTATTTAAATTCTTTCCGATCTTAAACAAAAAATAGAATATTTAAATTTATGTCTTTTATATATTATAATTGTTTATTGAAGGCTTAAATTTATATCCTTTATATATTATAATTGTTGATGGAAATAAATGAGTTGTGATGGTTATAGATAATTTACTTCTTTTGATTTGGGTAGAGAGTTTCACATGTGGTTAGATAATTGTTGATTAGTATTTAAATATTATGACTCCATTAGAAGATTGAAAAGAGATGGTTTCATCCTTTCACTCGATTTTGTTGCAAGAAGTTTTATAACGATCTTTAGTATGGTGTCAGTCATAGGACTGTTATGGCTATCCGTAAGTTGATAGATTAGGTAGATATGATCAGTAGACAATAGATTTAATTCTGGTAGATTATATGAGCCTGTTATAAATCATGTGAAAAGGTTATTGCTTCCCAAGACGTAAGACTTTGGAGATTATATAACCGAAAATAATTATCTCTAGGAGTTTTGAGACACATAAGAGGTACAATTAAAGATGGATCAAGAAGGGTTAAAAGGTGTGATTGTCCCCTTAAAAATTTCAAATTCTCATATTATTTTTATATTTTTCTTTATATTTTCTATTGATAATTTATTTTTATTCATCCAAATTTTATAAATTCATTCCTTAGTATAAAATTCTATGTTCGTCTCTAAATATAATGAAATACTCATATGAATCTTTCAGAGACTCGAGATATCATAAAAACAATAGTATTAATTAAATTAAAATTTGACCCACAATAAATTTTGATATAAAAAAGAATAATTATTTTGATAGAATTGTGAACACAGAGAAAAAACAAGAGTAGAAGATGAAGATCATATCATGAAATCGGAGCAATTGTAGTGGTCAGCAACAAAGATAAAGTGGATTTCGCCGACTTGTTTGTAGATTTATGAGAGGCTGAGGAACACGTATTCTCTCTTCTTATCCCACCTATGGACAATCCAACACGACAGAGAGAAGAACATTATTTAAAAAGCACTCCAACCTTCTTAACACCCGTGAACCCCCCCCCCCCCCAAAGAAACAAAAGATTTTAATTGAAAAAACCAAACATTTTTCTTTCTTTTTACCATTCATTTCTTTCAGATTCCACTGCTTAATTTTCTTTCACCTACTAAACAAAGCCTTAATATTTAACCGTTTTGGCGGCCATTTCCCAAGGACTTGTTTCGGATGTAGATGAATTAATGATTCTTCTTTGCAGAGAGGACGTCTCTCATTGCACCGCAAAAATTACTGAGCTACAACTGCCCTATGATCGGCTGTGTTCCGACAGTGTCATTTTCAAGTCGACACTATGGCTTAGAGTGACACGTGGACTTATCTTGTGGCTACTCCGAAAGCTCTCGTGAACCTGCATGGGGACCTCGGTCTATGAACACAAAACCAAAGGTGAAAAAGAAGTTACCACTGCCAACAAAGGAACAAAATCATTCAATTCATTTATACATATTACCTCTCCCCTTTTGAGCTGTTTGATAGTGAGAAACTTATGCAGTTGGTTGGTTTTTTGCATGAATCACATAAAGATACGCTTTTAAGTGGGGCAGCCTCAAAAAACCAACAAAATCTCCATAAGAGTTTTTATAAACAAAGGTTTTCCAGTAAGGAATAACAGAGGTTGAAAAATGTCTTGGTTTCTCTTCACATTGTTGCTCAGTTTCTTCAATGGTTTCTCAGAGGGTAGCCATGAATCTGCAGTTGTCGTTGGAACTGTGTACTGTGACACTTGTTTCCAGCAGCCTTTCCCAAGTGCCGCCCATTTCATTTCAGGTTTTGAATTTAATTATTACCTTCAATTTCACTCAGTTTCTTCTTGTTTTATACGAGTGTTTCTTTTTCTTTTTATTTCCTGCAGGTGCAACTGTTGCGGTGGAATGTAGAGATGGGAAGAGGTCAAGGCCGAGCTTTCGGCAACAAGTGAAAACCAATAAGCATGGCGAGTTCAAAGTTCGTTTGCCGTTTTCGGTGAGCAAACATGTGAAGAAAATCGAAGGGTGTGCGGTGAAACTGATTAAAAGCAGTGAACCGTATTGTGCGGTGGCTTCATCTGCAACTTCGTCTTCTCTCCATCTCAAGTCGAGGAAGCAAGGAACCCATGTTTTCTCAGCTGGGTTTTTCTCCTTCAAGCCATTGAAACAACCCTTCTTGTGTAACCAGAAACCCAGTGTTGACAGCCTAAAACAACTCAAAAACAAACCACAATCATCGGTTCATCCGGACCAGCTTCTGCCGCCGCCCGTTCTTCCTCCAAACCCTTTTCTACCGCCGCCCGTTCTTCCACCGAACCCTTTTCTACCGCCGCCTGTTCTTCCACCGAACCCCATTCTACCGCCTCCTGTTCTTCCTCCGAACCCCATTCTGCCGCCACCCGTTCTTCCTCCGAACCCCATTCTGCCGCCACCCGTTCTTCCTCCGAACCCCGTTCTGCCGCCACCCGTTCTTCCTCCGAACCCCTTTCTGCCGCCGCCCGTTCTGCCTCCGAACCCCTTTCTGCCGCCGCCCGTTCTGCCTCCAAACCCACTTCAGCCGCCGCCAGCTCCGGAGATTCCAAACCCACTTGAGCCTCCTCCTGCACCGCTAACACCATCTTTGCCGCCAATTCCAGTACTACCTCCACTCCCTTTCCCTCCTATACCTCCCTTCCCTGGTGTCCCCCCAGCAAAATCTTCTCCTTGATCCGATACTAGTATTTCGCCATGTATAATTCTCCAACAGTATTTCTCATTTCTAAGAATTACTTATATAGTTATGTAATTTGCCCTTGGACGCCAATTCCCAATAATAATCCCCTTCACATAATTATTGTACTATAATAAATTCAATCCTGGAATATTCAGAACCAGGATTTCAGTCATAATTTTGGGCATGTTATTAAGCTTATTGTCAACAACCCTTAACTAAAACTGTAAAAAGTTGATACTATCATATTGTTTGACAAACATTTTAAAATATCCTAATGCATGTCAAATTATAATTAAAACTTTCTTCACTACTCCAAAATATTAATTAAAAGCAGCACAATATTTGCTCTTCAAGGCCGTAATATAGTTGGGGTGCCCATGGATCTTGATAATTACCCGACCCTTTTGCATTAGTTTCCGACAGCCTCCGGCAGTGAAGTCGATATTTCTGAAACCAAAATACATAATATCAACAGCCGCATTATGTTTTTGGCTTCAATTCGCTGAATAGTGCTTAGTAATTATGCACCTCATTTCATCTAAACATTGCTTTTATCACATAGGGTATGCCAAATGATAGTCATTCTTTTATATAATTTAGTCACTAAAACACTGTTACTTTAAAATTAAACATATGAGTATCAAATTTATTTATAAATTTTTATAGTTAATATTTAATTATTTATTAAATAAATTTATTTAATAAAAAACTTTCACTCGATCAAATTTTTAGTTTTTATATAGAGATTTATTAATTGATTGAGTCATAAATATTTATATTATTTTATTTTATGTGAGTTTGAATCTTAATATTTATTCGGGAAATATAATATTTTTTACTTATGCACTTCCGTTGGTTTCAGTTCGCTGAATGGTGCTTTGTAATTGTGCGTTTCATTCCATCTAAACATTGCTTTTAACACATATGGGTATGCCAAATAATACTCATTCTTTTAGATAATTTAATAACTAAAAGATTGTTGATTTTTTTAAAAATATTTTTATAAATAATAATTAGTATTATTATAAGATTATTTTTATTTTTTATATTATTTTTGAATAAAATAATTAAAAACTATTACTTTAAAATTAAACATACGAGTATCAAATTTATTTATAGTTTATTTTTAATTATTTATTAAATAAATTTTATAATATATTTATTTATATAAAAAACTTTCTTTCACACAAAATTTTAATTATTATTCAGAGATCTATTAATTGATTGAATGATCGAAAATATTCATATTATCTTATCTTACGTGAGTTTGAATCTCGATATTTATTTTGAAAATATAATACTTCTTACTTAATAAAAAAATTAATTACTATATATATATATTAAGAATTAGGATCATAAACCAACCTGAAGGTGGCTCTTTACGTGATCATTAGTGAGGCCCTCAACTTGCATGACCTCTCTGATTTGCTTAGGAGTCGCCACTGAACAAAAAAATATATTTATAAATTAAAAAAGTATGTACTTAAATATATTAATTTTTTAGATATAATAATAATAATAATAATATCAATCTAATTAAGAGTAAATTGACGTATTAATTTGATGATAAAAGTAAATATTAATAATCCATAAAATTAGACAATGTGATGAATTTCAGTGGTATGTACCTTCAATGCCTCCAATGATACGCAAAGCCTCCAGAAACCTTGCATGAAGCTGGGGCGACCAAGATCGCCTGTTGCTCTTCCCATTAGGTTGAGACAGTGGCTTGGGGTTATAATTTAGGGTTCCACCATCAGCCCTCAGGTACAACCCGCCTTCACCATTGTCGTTTGTGGTTCCGTTAACACTTGCACATCTGCTTGGCTCGAAAGGATTGGGGTTCTCATAAGAAGCCTACGCATGATTTAAACAATTTTTGTAAATATTTTCATAAATGAATGCCAGATTTATATTGGTTACTTCGTACAAATACGGTTATCTTTAGTAGGTGATATTTAGAGTTAACAAAATAAATTTTGTTTTAAGATTTATAACGGATGAATATAAATAAAGATCGGATTAAAAAATGACACCTAGAAAACCCCGTCTTCTTCAATCCGTTCATTCTTATCAAAATCCTAACGAGCAACAACAACATCATTTTTCATTTTTATGGGGTTAATTACCTGAATAAAGTCTTCGAATGCTTTGTGCTGCATAGAGTTCCATAGATGGTGAGGAGATGAACTCATCAGACCCTTTCCTATGAAATCACAGTTTTGGTTATCCTGAGCAGACGTGTGTGGTTGTTTTCCTTCATAAAATTTCTTCTTCATCGCCAAGAACTCCATTAACGGCCCTTCATTTTCAGGTCCCATCCCGCTCTTGATCTTCATAAACTCCTCTTTCAAAGTCCCAAGTCCTTCGACAAAAAGAAAAACTTAAAACCAATCATAAAATTTCTAGAAAAATCTGGAGGAAAAAAATGAAATAATAACTTTAAAAAATGATTTATTTCTCACCCTCCATTAAAAGCAACATGCATCGAGGAAGTCGACGTTTGAAAGCGGAGATGCTGTTCAATTCTCCTTCAAGATGAATGATATAATTATTCAAAACTACTAACTTATCTACTGCGTTCTCGACGTTGGAGATATCTTTGAGCAGATTTGCTATGGTTTTAGGCACATAAGATGGTTTAAGACTCGGGTTCAGTTCAAGAGAGCTTGATGAAGACATTTTTTTCCTTTCTTGTTCAAACTGGAGAATTGTAAGGGAAATTATCACACTCGGAATCCACTATTGGCCTAAAAGACAAACGAGATTACATAATATGCATTAATTCGTTTAGACTTTGACATGAAAGAAATGAGAGAATCCTGAAACTTGAATGAGCTAACGCCAGATTCTCAGTAATTGAAGTTTTGAGTCTATTTTTGTTGATCACCATTCGTGCTTGACTTTTGACAACTCAACTCAGTACATTTGATTCTATGGGAACCTGTCACTTGACTGCTTGACCCTTTTTAGGATTAGTTTCTTTTTTACAGAATTAGCTTTTTGACCCCTCAATTTTACCGGTTTAGTTATTTTAAATCTTAAACTTTTATTTTGTTTATCTTGACTCTTAATCTTTTAATTATTTTTGTCAAATTGACTTAAATATCATAAATAAATATATATATATATATATTAACGTATAAAAGGTGTAACAATAAAATAAATTTTCAAAAACTCTTATATTTTTAATTTTAAGATTTGATTCGATAATTAAGTGTTGATTTTTTTCCTTAAAATATAAACTTCTAAATAATTTTTTTTTTGTTGCCCTCCCGGTTCTTAGGCTTCGTCTTGATTAATTCAGACAGATCTGTGTTGCACACATGATTTTGGTAAGTGAGTCTTCCCACAGGAATTTTATGCATATACATGAACTCGAACTCAAACTCAAACCTTACTTAAACGATATCAAACTGTTTATCACTTAAACAACCTTTGTCACAAGGTTATAAATAGTTATTTTTGAACTCGAGTTTTTTCATTTTCTAGATAACTTTCACCGACTAAGCACGTAGTTTTGCACCAAGTAAAGACAACAAAAAAGTAATTTACTCTGAATTCAATGTATTCTATCTGGACCCAAAAGGTGAACTTTTTCTAAAAAAATTAATTACAAAAATAATTATTTTAATATAATTTATACGTAGGATTCTTTATTTTTGTCATTTTTACAGACAGTTCATGATTACTTTAAAAAGAACAGACAAAATCAAACCGATAATTTTTTTACCATGTTGATTAATATATGAGCTTGGCGTTTTAACTACTACTAGTTATTTTCACTAATAATGAAATCGCTCCCTCATCTAATTGATTTGGTTTTGAAAACAGATTCATGCGAGACGATTTGTTGACCGAAGTCCTTGAGGCACTTATTGTAATTCATGGTTTGATAGTTCAGAAGACCAAGTTGATAAGTGATTGCTACCGACTTCTAAAAGATCTTCTAGATAGTCTGCTGCTTGAGAGTAGTGAGAACAAACGGCAATTTATTCGAGCCTGTATTTGTGGTTTGCAGATTCATGGCGATGAGAAGAAAGGAAGAACTTGTCTGGTATGGGGAACTTAATAAATTATCCCTTTTTTTCTTTGTAATGATTCTCTTGGGTTACAATAATGCACCTTCTTATTTTCTGGAGTTATAATGTTGCTCAATTGTATGAATTTTATGGCAGTTTATTTTATAGCAGCTCTGCAACTTGATCTGCCCATCAAAACCGGAGGCTGTTTATTTGTTGGTGCTAAACAAAGCTCATACTCAGGAAGAGTTCATGTTAAAATGGTTTTCCAGTTTAGTAATAAACTTTGAAAAAATGGCTTTTTAAGTTTGGTAAATGTTTCCTTGAAAATGGTTTTCAAAGTTTGGTAAATGTTTCTTTGAAAAATAGTTTTTCAAAGTTTGGTAGATGTTTGTTGAAAAATGATAATAGGATAATCACAATTAATCCTTAAGTTTTAGAGTATTTACAAGATTAAGTCCTTAAGTTTTAACTATAAATACCCTAGCTCATTTAGCTTCAAAACCATCCCAAAAATCATTTCTTTCTTCCAATACTAGAGAGTTTTCTTGTGAGTAGTGAGTGTTTTGTAAACACTTATAAATTTTCTCTCTTAGTAAAAGATTTGTAGCAGTCTGGAGACGTAAGCACAATTGGCTGAACTCCGTTATCAATTTCGGGTATTATTTTTCCGCTTTTATTTTGCATTCTCACTAATCTGGTTATAGGGAAATTACTTGTACTTGGTTTATTTCCCAACAACTGGTATCAGAGCTTTTGGTTGTGAATTTTGTCAATTTTTGTGAGGTTACTATTCACGCGAATAGTGAATTTCGTGAATAGTAAAATTTTGTCGGCGATACAAATTTGTCGACGGATGTGTTCTAATACACGGTGGTTCGCAAGAATTGTCAGAAATGATCCAAACGAAACCAGATTCGAGTGGGAGCGATGGCTGCAGACGAAGAGAATGTGAAAATTGAAAAGTTCGATGGTGCAGACTTTGGCTTTTGGAAGATGCAGATTGAAGATTTTCTGTACCAGAAAAATCTATATCAACCTCTCTCAGGAAAGCAACCAGAGGGCATGAAGAATGAAGACTGGGCTCTTCTCGACAGGCAAGCCCTCGGAGTTATCCGACTGACGTTATCCCGCAATGTTGCTTTCAACATAGCAAAGGAAAAGACCACGACGGGTCTTATGGCGACTCTCTCCAGTATGTATGAGAAGCCATCAGCCTCAAACAAAGTGCACTTGATGAGGCGATTATTCAATTTGCGGATGACGGAAGGGGCATCGATGGCACAACACCTAAATGAACTCAACACAATCACAACTCAGTTGAGTTCAGTGGAAATTGAATTCGATGATGAATTTCGAGCTTTAATTCTCTTATCATCTCTACCAGACAGTTGGAATGCTACTGTTACAGCAGTTAGCAGCTCATCGGGAAATAGTAAATTGAAATTCGACGATGTTCGGGATCTGGTACCGAGCGAAGAAATTCGACGGAGAGAATCGGGTGAAGTATCAACCTCCTCAGCCTTGCACACGGAGTCTAGAGGGAGAACTTCAGAAAGAAATTCAAATCATGGTAGATCGAAATCCAGATGGGGAAAATCCACAACGGGAAAGAAAGATTTTACCTGTTATAATTATGGCAAGAAGGGTCACTTTAAAAGAGATTGCCGAGCACTGAAGAAAAATATTGGCGCACATGAATCTGCCAACGTGACAGAGGAGACATGTGATGCCATGATTCTAAGCGTCAACAGTCCGATTGAATCATGGATCTTAGATTCAGGGGGCATCTTTCCACTCCACCCCATGCCGAGAAATCATGGAAAATTATGTCAGTGGTGATTTTGGGAAGGTTCATCTAGCTGATGATGAAACCTTAAAGATCGTCGGAAAAGGAGACATCCGACTAAAGTTGCCAAACCAAACCACCTGGACGCTGAAAGGAGTGAGACATATTCCTGGCCTCAAAAGAAATTTAATTTCTGTAGGACAGCTTGATGGTAAAGGATTTAGCACAACCTTTTCAGGTTGTGAATGGAAGATTACCACAGGAGCACTCGTCATTGCTCGTGGTAAGAAAAACTGGTACTCTCTATATAACATCAAATTTAGAGAACATCATTGCAGTAGCAGATGCTTATGGAAAATCAAACCTATGGCACCAAAGGCTTGGCCATATGAGCGAGAAAGTGATGAAGACACTTTTGTCAAAGGGGAAGCTGCCAGATCTAAAGAATGTAGATGTCGGACTATGCGAGGATTGCATCTTTGGCAAACAAAAGAAAGTCAGCTTTGCAAAGATTGGTAAGACACCTAAGGCTGAAAAGTTAGAGTTAGTTCATACTGATGTATGGGGACCATCTCCAGTTCTATCTCTTGCAGGCTCATTATATTATGTCACTTTCATCGATGATTCTACAAGGAAGGTGTGGGTTTATTTTCTGAAGAAAAAATCAGAAGTCTTTGATACCTTCAGAAAATGGAAGGCCATGGTGGAAAACGAGACTGGTATGAAAGTCAAGCGGTTGAGGTCTGACAATGGAGGAGAGTACAGAAATAGGAGATTCAGAGATTTTTACGCAAACAATGGGATCAAGATGGAGACAACAGTTCCCATGACACCGCAGCAGAATGGCGTAGCAGAACGCATGAACATAACTCTGAATGAACGTGCCAGAAGCATGAGGATACATGTCGGATTGCCCAAATTTCTATGGGCTGAAGCTATCAACACTGCAGCTTACTTGATCAACCGTGGACTCTCAGTTCCTTTGGATGGCAGAATACCAGAGGAAGTTTGGAGCAAGAAAGAAATAAACCTTTCACACTTAAGAGTGTTTGGTTGTATTTCTTATGTACACATAGACTCTGCTGAAAGAAGTAAACTTGATGCTAAGTCCAACAAATGTTCCTTTGTTGGTTACGGCGGTGATGAATTCGGTTATCGATTTTGGGACTATGAAAATCGGAAGATCATTAGAAGTAGAGATGTCATTTTCAATGAGAATGTGATGTACAAAGACAGGTCAACTGTAGAATCAAGCAGCTCCATTACCAAAGCTGAAACAAAAGAATTTGCTGAGTTTGAGGAGATTTCTGGAAATGATGTTCAGATCAGTCCTGAAGCAATTCAAGAAGAACCAGGCATACCGGAACTAAGACGCTCCTCGAGAATTCCTAAACCAACCCAACGATATTCTCCTTCTTTGCACTACTTGTTGCTGACTGACAATGGTGAACCAGAGTGCTATGATGAAGCAATGCAAGTGGAGGATTCAGTCAAGTGGGAGTCTTCCATGAAAGATGAGATGGATTCGCTTTTGTCAAATCAGACGTGGGAATTAGCTGAATTACCACCAGGCAAGAAAGCGCTTCACAACAAGTGGATTTACAGGATCAAAGAAGAGCACGATGGGAGCAAACGCTACAAAGCAAGATTGGTTGTCAAAGGTTTTCAGCAAAACGAAGGTATTGACTACAATGAAATTTTCTCTCCAGTCGTGAAACTGTCTACTATCAGACTGGTGTTGAAAATTGTAGCTGCAGAGAATTTACATCTTGGGCAGTTAGATGTAAAGACAGCTTTCCTTCATGGTGATTTGGAGGAAGAAATCTATATGAGGTAGCCAGAAGGCTTCATAGAGGCATACAAGAAAAACCTGGTATGCAGGTTGAAGAAGAGCTTGTATGGTTTAAAACAAGCTCCTAGACAGTGATACAAGAAGTTCGATAGTTTCATGAGTAGCAGTGTTTTTACCAGATGCCAAGCAGATCATTGTTGCTACATCAAGAGGTTCGACAATAGCTTCATTATTTTATTGTTGTACGTTGATGACATGCTCGTTGCAGGCTCAGACATGCAAGAGATTATAAACTTGAAGCAAAAATTGTCAAAGCAGTTTGCTATGAAGGATCTGGGCGCTGCAAAGCAGATTATTGGGATGAGGATCAAGAGAGACACAAAGTCAGGGACTTTGATATTATCACAGGCTGAGTACATCAACAAAGTACTCTCCATGTTCAACATGCAAGATGCTAAACCAGTAAGTACACCTTTAGGTGTTCATTTCAGACTCTCCAAAGAACAGTCACCAAATACGGAAGAAGAACGTGCACACATGGTGAAGGTGTCGTACGCCTCAGCAATTGGAAGTCTGATATATGCCATGGTTTGTACCAGACCAGATATTGCTCAAGCAGTGGGAGCTGTTAGCAGGTACATGAATAATCCGGGCAAGGTACACTGGGAAGCAGTCAAATGGATCCTCAGATATCTGCGGGGTACCACAAACAAAGCACTTTGTTTCAAAGGTGGAGATACGATACTGACAGGCTATGTAGATGCTGACTTAGCCGGAAATGTTGACATCAGAAGGAGTACTACAGGGTATGTCTATACTCTAGGAGGAACTGCAGTGAGTTGGGTTTCTCAACTACAGAAGATAGTTGCTCTCTCCACAACTGAAGCAGAATATGTCGTTACGGAAGCTAGTAAGGAGATGGTTTGGCTCCAAAGTTTCTTGGAAGAGTTAGGCAAGAAACAAGAAAACAATGTCTTGCATTGCGACAGTCAAAGTGCTATACATCTAGCAAAGAATCCGTCTTTTCATTCCAGGACAAAGCACATACAATTGCGATATCATTTTATCCGGTCTCTTCTGGAAGATGAGATTTTGAAACTTGAAAAGATCAGTGGAGCTCAAAATCCGGCAGATATGTTGACAAAGATGGTGACTACAGACAAACTGAAGTTGTGTTCAACTTCAGTTGGTATGCTAGAGTAACAAGACTAGAAAAGTTGTTGCATTGATCGAGGTGTGAAGACAGATTAAAATCAGTCTTCAAGTGGGAGATTGTTAAAATGATTTTCAAGTTTGGTAACTAACTTTGAAAAAATGGTTTTCAAAGTTTGGTAAATGTTTTCTTGAAAATGGTTTTCAAAGTTTGGTAAATGTTTCTTTGAAAAATAGTTTTTCAAAGTTTGGTAGATGTTTGTTGAAAAATGATAATGGGATAATCACAATTAATCCCTAGGTTTTAGGGTATTTACAAGATTAAGTCCTTAAGTTTTAACTATAAATACCCTAGCTCATTTAGCTTCAAAACCATTCCAAAAATCATTTCTTTCTCCCAATACTAGAGAGTTTTCTTGTGAGTAGTGAGTGTTTTGTAAACACCTGTAAATTTTCTCTCTTAATAAAAGATCTGCAACAGTCCGGAGACGTAAGCACAATTGGCTGAACTCTGTTATCAATTTTGGGTATTATTTTTCCGCTTTTATTTTGCATTCTCACTAATCTGGTTATAGTGAAATTACTTGTACTTAGTTTATTTCCCAACAGTTCATTAGAGGATCAATGACCAAGAATCCTTATTCAAGTGCTGAGATTGGTCCACTAATGCGGGATGTTAAAAATAAAATATGCCATCAATTGGAACTGATAAGTCTTCTAGAAGATGACTATGGTATGGAACTCTTAGTTGCCTGGAATATAATTTCTCTTGACCTGAGCATTGCTCAGGTTTATGAGCAAGTCTGGAAGAAGTCAAACAGTTAATCTTCAAATTCTCTGTCTAGCTCTTCGCTTTTATCCTCTGGTGCTGTTACATCGAGTAGAGAATGCTCGCCCATGATAGTGACATACCGACTTCAGGTTTATTACTGTTTTTTTCTAGCAAATGCCTCGTCTTTCATAAAGGACTTCATGATTCAACTGTGCAGAATGTCTTTCACTACTTATGTTTTGTGCCTTGCAATGATTTTTGCATATGGGAATCCTTATTTGGGATTGTAGTCCTTGAACTTCAAATTTTGCTTAGCCTCCTTGTTTTCTGCATTTTTGAACTCAAAATCCATTTTTAGTGGAGCTTATGACGTTTGATACTAAATGGCCTTTTATCCCAGAATGAGACCAAAAGCTATCTGGAATTTGTGTTTTATTTACATTATGATTCCACAGGGTTTAGATGGTGAAGCTACTGAGCCTATGATAAAAGAACTGGAGGAAGATAGAGTAGAATCACAAGATCCTGAGGTTGAGTTTGCAATAGATGGTGCAGTCCGTGAGTATGATGGGCTGGAAATCTTGTTGCGCATGATTCTGGTGTGTGGGTTCATTTCCTTGTTATAGATCGTGATTCCACATTCTTTTTATTTACATCATGCATAGAACTTTGTGGTTCATAAAGGGACAACTACTTTTAAGTCGACAAAATTATTCTTACTTTGAATGTACAGCGTTTGCGAGATGATTTCAAGTCCAACCAGGAGCAGTTGGTTGCTGTTCTCAATCTCCTCATGCACTGCTACAAGATTAGAGAGAATAGGAGGGCCTTATTAAGGCTTGGAGCTTTAGGTCTACTGCTTGAAACAGCAAGACGTGCATTCTCGGTCGATGCCATGGAGCCAGCTGAAGGGATTCTTTTGATTGTAGAGTCTGACAATGGAAGCAAATGAAAGCGATAATATTAGTATTTCACAGTGTGTTCTTACGGTCACCAGTGAGAAAACTGGCACTGGGGGCCAAGCAAAGAAAATAGTTCTTATGTTCCCGGAGAGACTGTCTCATCCTTCAGGTCATAAGAAATCAAACAGAGGAACACTGAGATGGTCGCAATAATATTACCCTACTTGACTTATGGTGAACCTGATGCTATGGAAGCTCTTACCCAACATTTTAACCCTACTTGCAAGACTGGGGAGAATTCGACTGATTGCAGAAACAGCATCAAGACAATCCTAAAGATGAAACCATTGCCCTGCAAGCAGCCAAGCAGAGGTTTACTGTGGAAAATTTTGTTATGGTTTCAGAATCTCTGAAAACAAGTTCCTGTGGGGAGAGATTGAAGGATACTATCCTAGAGAAGGACATTACAGGTGTAGCTGTCAGACATTTGAGTGTGAGTTTTGCAATTGCAGGGCAGGCTGGCTTTAAAGCTAGTTCAGAATGGGCATTAGCTTTGAAACTGCCATCTGTCCCACTTGTGTTTCAATGCTCAGGGGCTTATCAATGGGGCACTTTTCCACTCTAAGGTGCATTGATGAGGGTGGAATCTTGCCCTTACTCCATGCTTTGGAAGGTGTGTCTGGAGAAAATGAGATTGGACCTAAAGCGGAGAATTTGTTGGACAGACTATCGGAAAATGAAGGCAAAGGAGATGGATTCTTGGAGGAGAAGTTGCGTAAGCTACGGCATGCAACTAAAGATGAAATGAGACGGCGAGCTCCAAGGAAAAGGGAAGAGTTGCTTCAGGTACTCTTTATTGAACTTAAGTTCTCTACTTCTATATGAGCCATACATGTTGCAGGAAAGTGGAATTTGCCAAATGAGTTGCAATTTTGTAGCTAGGTTTTGTCTTTCTACATTTCTTTTATTTAGGAAATTATGATTGCGAATGGTTTTGATTGCAGGGTTGTATTTCTTTAAATAGATCTTACTGCCTAGCTCATTTTTTTAGCTAGGTTTTGTCTTTCTACATTTCTTTTATTTAGGAAATTAAAATTGCGAATGGTTTTGATTGCATGGTTGTATTTCTTTAATATAGATCTTACTGCCTATGTATTTTTAAGGATGGAACTGTTTAATGTTAATTAATGGAGCTTGTTGTAGATACAAAGCAGGCATTCACATGCCAGTTTTTCTCCTCTTTTTATTGATTTGTTTACTCTGGCAAGAAAAGCTGAACCAACTTGTATTGTGTTTTCTCTTGGCAACTATCCAGGAACTTGGAATGCGACAAGAACTAGCTTCAGATGGTGGTGAGAGAATAGTTGTCGGCCGGCCTCTTCTGGAAGGTCTGGAAGATGAGGAGGAGGAAGATGGACTGACTTGTATGGTGTGTCGAGAGGGCTATAGTTTGAGACCCACTGACTTGCTGGGTGTTTACTCTTATAGCAAGCGAGTAAACCTGGGTGTTGGCACGTCAGGAAGTGCACGTGGAGAGTGTGTTTACACTACGCTTAGTTACTTCAATATTATTCATTTCCAGTGCCATCAGGAGGCCAAAAGAGCAGATGCTGCTTTGAGGAATCCGAAGAAAGAGTGGGAGGGTGCTACTCTCAGAAACAATGAATCTCTTTGCAGTTCTTTGTTTCCTGTGAGAGGACCGTCAGTTCCACTAGCACAGTATGTTCGCTATGTTGATCAATTCTGGGATAACCTCAACGCTCTTGGTCGTGCTGATGGAAGTCGGCTCCGGCTGTTGACTTATGATATTGTTCTGGTATGCTCTTCCATCTGAGCTTGTTATTAGCTTTTCTTGTATGTTCGTTTTTAGATATTTTTAGATGGTCTTATATGTCTGCATATTTTCTGTACAGATGCTAGCTCGATTTGCAACAGGAGCATCATTCAGTGCAGAGAGTAGGAGTGGTGGAAGGGAAAGCAACTCCCGCTTTTTGCCTTTCATGGTCCAAATGGCTTGTCACCTTCTCGAACAGCTGCTCTCAGAGTCGTACGAGTCATGGCTGCAACATCGATGTGACTTCTTGCAACGTGGAATATACCACGCCTACATGCAGCATACTCACGGTCGGTCAACTGCTAAGATGGAATCAGCAAGTAGCAGCAAAAGTTCCACCTCCACCTCAGAATCTGGTGGTGATGAACTATTGTCAATTGTTCGACCCATGCTGGATTGATCGAGCAGTTGCAGCAAATATTCAAGGTTAAGAAATCAAGTATAGCAACCATCAAAGTCAAAGCTGAAGGAACATCGACAGGAATTGAAGGCGAAGGGTTGGGAGGCTGGGAGGTTGTAACGAAAGAGAGCGGTTGTTGAATGTGAAGGAAATGCAAGGGTTCTCCAAAGAGTTGCTCTCATGGCTCGATGACATGAATTCCACAACCGATTTGCAGTAGGCGTTCGACCTAACTGGTGCCCTGGGTGATGTGTTGTCCGGAGGATTTACACGGTACGAGGATTTCGTACAAGCCGCAATTGCCACCGGAAAAATGCGAGGTTCATTTGGTCAGTTTGTACTTGGTTACCTTTTCAATTTGACAATTTTGAACGAATAATGTGCGAGTGCCCCTTGTAAAACCTGCTCTTTTAAATCTAAAAGTCTTTCCTCCAACCTTTTCCCTGCATATTTCCTCTTTATCATCTTCAATATACAGATTAAAATCCATTAATTGCTCTACAAAATTAGTCATTTGAATTTTTCATTTGGTTGGTTGATACTGTGGGACCATCAGCATTTATCAAAACCTCTCGTTAGGTGTGAACCATGAAGCGTAATCGATCAACCATTAAAGATGACAGCTTAGACTCTGAATCTGAGAGGATACAATTCCGTCAATAATTCGAATGGAATGCAAGTCGGTGAACATGTTATTTTCAGAATTTGAACTCAACTGTTAAAAGTATTAAGCACTTGAAAATAATGAATAGTTTGCTGTTTTCTTCGGCGTTTATTGCACGCAGAGTAATCAGTCGAGAGAATTGTCCAAAGATAAAACAGTGCAAATGCTTCATTAGTCGGAGAAGAATTATAAATTAACTGGACCTACCATTTATATATAATTTAATTAACCTTTTCTATCCTTAATTAATCTATTAATAGCGTCATTAGGTTGGTAATTAAGCATACAGTCCACCGACAAATATATAATTTCCTTATGCTAATGAATAACAGATGTAAATATTTTATTACACAAATAATTTTGGGTGGATTTGGAAACCTTATTAGACATCTAAAATTATTATCCATTTTACTTTTTAATTTTTTTAATTTGTTAATTTTAGGTATTTAACTTGCTTAAACATCTAACAAATAATGTTATTTATATAAAATTTGGATAACAATAATAACTCCGTTTAATATTGATTTGAATTTAAAACATATATGTGGATTCAGATCCCAAATACTACACAAACAACCAACGTTTCATCAATTATTTATTGATGCGAAATATATTATAAATTTATAATTTGAAAATAAAAGATGACAAATAAGCACTAAGATTTTTTTAAAGGATAATAATTCTTTTGTTTATGGAATGAAAACAAAGCAAAGGTGTGTACTTCTTAAAAAAATCTTCCTAAACTTATTTCGAGAAAAAAGAGTGCACAATATCAAAACTAAATCAATATTTTAATATAAGGAAAAAGAGTGCATAATATCAAAGTTAAATCAATATTTCAAGGTTTAAATATACAAAAGGTGTCTAACGTATACTTATTTTTTTAGTTTAGTGTCTAATAATTTTTTCGTTTCAATTTGGAGCCTAATGTTTCATTCCGTTACTCAAAATGGGTCACGCCGTGACGGACCGTTAGTTTTCTCCGTTAAATGACACGTGTCACAATCTGATAATTTTAAAATTTTTATTTAAAATTAAAAAATATTATATATATTTTTTAAAAAAAGACAATTTTTGAAATAACCCCAAAACTTTAAAAACATTAATTTCAACCCCTAACCCTAAACCATTCGACTACCCCTCTTCCAAGCTCGTTCGCTCGGCGACGGTGGCTTACCAAACCGGTTGGGTTTTGATCAGACAAGACTGGCGAGCTCAGTTTCGGTGGAGGTCAGGCGGAATGGTGGCGGTTTCGGTAGGAAATCGCAAAAATCGAAAGGTGATGGGGGCTTTTCGTTGGACTTTCAAACGTCACTCCACCACGAACGGCGGTGATTGGAGGCGGGTGGATGACTGGGCTATGACCGATCTGGGACGACGCTTCCATTGGGCTAGACGGAGAGAACTAACGGTTCGTCATGGTGTGACCCATTTTGAGTAACGGAATGAAACATTAGGCACCAAACTGAAACGAAAAAAACGTTACGCACTAAACTGGACAAATCGATATACATTGTACACCTTTTGTATATTTAAGCCATAGTTCAATATAAATTTAGTTATAGATTTAATTTTGGGAGAGGGCTAGAAATTTACTTCTAATTTTATTTGTATTTTCCTTAAAAATATAATTATAAATTTAATATATTAATGGTAAATCGATGGTTAATCATTATTAAAATTCGTAATTGTAACGGTTAACTATTATTTTTAACGATCCGGTTAACTGAAATCATTTAGCATTAACACTTCGGTTAATTAACATGTAAAATATAACGATTATATCAGTTAACGGTTATGGATTATTTGAAAAGACATTGATTCCAAGCTTGAACAAATGATGAAAGATGCATTAATATTTGTATATGCTTAATTTTGTGGAGTTTGAAGGGTGACGTGTGGTTTGAAACAGCATAACATAACTATGATCTATCTAACCCTCTATTAAACAAATTAATAACCAATTGCTTGCCTCATTCGTGCCGTGTTTTATTATTTTACACGGAAATTAAACAATGAATTAAGGGAGGATGGCCAATCACTATGTAATAAAAACTCAATTCATATTAGGGAGATAAATTTATAATTTTTTAGTGCTAATTGTTTGTTAATTAATATTTTCTATCTATATAGGGGTCATTTTGTCCCATAATGAAACATTTGAGGTCAAAACATTTCAAAAGGAAAAATGTATCAAATTGATTATTTAATCAAACATTAGAGTTTTTCTTATATTATATCGCAAAATTAATAAAATCTATGCGATATATATTTCAAAAGAAAAAAAATGTATCAAAGTGACTATTTAATCAAACATTAGAGTTTTTCTTATATTATACCGTAGAATTAATAAAACCTATGCAATATATATATATATCAAAGTGATTATTTAATCAAACATTAGAGTTTTTCTTATATTATACCGTAGAATTTTGTAAAACCTATGAAATTTTGGGTCTCATCGGTGGCCGGCACGAAAGCCGATCATTACAAGTGATGGTCGGTTTTTGAGAAGATAAAGAGAAAATGAAAAGGAAAAAAGAAGAAGAAAATGAAGAAAAAAATAGAAAATATAATTCTATATGGAATTTAAAATTATGATGTTTTGATGTAATTTTTTTAAAGAATGTCTTTTTAATTTTTTGTGTCGTGTCATAACGCTATTAACTATTTAACGGCGAAGTGACTAAAATAGGAGTAATTTTAAAGTTCAATGATTAAATTGAAGACATTTAAAGTTCAGTGAGTGAAATAGGAGAAAGAATAGAGTTTAGTGAAAATTCGTAATTTACCCTTACTAATTTTACAGGCGCGTAGACAAATAATCACGTGGGGGGTTTTTATTTCATTTTAGATTTAGATTTGTCCACTTTGTCGTGGCCGTAAATGTATAAAATAGCTCCAGTGAACCACCAATATTCCATTTGTAGATTACCAAAATTAATAAGTCTAAGTCTATGATTATATTCTATAAAAAAAAAAGAGTCTACGATTATATTAATTAGTATGTAAGTAAAAGGGGTCCACTTACTGATTATTTCCTTTAACAATTGGGTAAACTGCCCCCGTTAGTTATTGAATTTTAGATTATGTGCCGATTTTATTATTAAAATCTTAAATATTTTAATTTTAATAATAAATTTTATTTTACACTTCAATTGAATTATTAAATTCAAAAAATAACATAGATATTGATTTTTATCTTTGTGACAACACGGAGGTTGAAAGATACAAAAAGATGTAATAGCGATGGTTGTACGAATATTAAAAATCTCCTTTTTCATTTATTTTCCTTAAAAAAATGAAATCTTCTCTCTTGAAATCTTTTTGTCGTTGCTTATGTCACCGACATCGCTCCTTATTTTGACGACTCCTTTGACTGATAAAACTCCTAAAAAAAATTATAGAGAAAATCGCCTCAGTGACCAAAAAAAAGTTATAATATACGATTTTAACCAACTTTTTTTGGATTTGCCAAAATGACCAACAAAATCGCAACGCGAAATAAAAATCGCAACGCGATCCCCAGAATCGCAAATCAGTTTCCAGAATCGCAAATCAGTTTCCAAAATCGCAACGCGATTCTTGAAAATCGCGATGCGATAGTACAAATTCGCATTGCGATTTTCCAAAATCGCAACGCGAATATGAAAATCGCAACGCGAACACATAAATCGCAACGCGTATCCGTAAATCGCAACGTGTATCCGTAAATCGCAACGCGTATGGGTAAATCGCAATGCGTATCCGTATATCGCAACGCGTATCCGTAAATCGCAACGATAATACATAAAATCGCAACGCGTATCCGTAAATCGCAACGCGATATTTAAAGCGCCATTATAATCGCTACGCGTATTTTATTTTCAAATTACAAAAAGAATATTAAGACAAAATCCCGTAATCGCAACTCATAACCTAAAACCTAAAATCACAACTCAGTCCCATCTCCATCTCTCACTCTCTACGGCGAAGAAATCCGTCCCCATCTCCGAAGATTTCCGTCCCCATCTCCGGCGAAATCCCTCACAACCATTCACGGTCAGAAATCCCTCACAATATTCAGAAATGGAAAATCAACCTCCGAGGGTTAGTTTTTTTAATTATTTTTATTTTGAAATGTTTGCATTATTGTAGGTTTTTCATATTGAAACTGATGATAAGTTTACTGGTCATTTCAATAATAGATTAACCATTTCACTTAGATTTCATTTCGCGTTACGATTCTGTCGTTGCGATTTTCATTTCGCGTTGCTATTCTCTCGTTGCGATTTTCAAGTTAGTATTTGTCTTTGTCTTTGTTCTGTCTTTTGGTTGAAGTAATGCAATCCATTCAAGTTTAAATTTGCAGAAGAGTCGCAACGAGATAAATGAAAATCGCAACGAGAGAATGACTGTCGCAACGAGAGAATCGCAACGCGAAATGGAAATCGCAACGAGAGAATCGCAACGCGAAACCAAAATCGCATTGCGATTTTCATTTCGCGTTGCGATTCTCTCGTTGCGATTTTCATTTCGCGTTGCGATTCTCTCGTTGCGATTGTCATCTCGCGTTGCGATTCTCTCGTTGCGATTTTCATTTCAACCAAAAGACAAAACAGTGTTGCAAATTTTAGTTTAAAGAATAAACTACTACTTTTTATGTTTATTGTTTTTGGTATATCTTCACAGTGTAGTTTTTGGTATATCTAACTTGGTATGTTTATTGTTTTTGTAGAAATTTTTTTCGGCTCAATTGACCTTGAGAAATAA